GCTAAATGCACTTTTAGAGGGAAAGAAAGAAGGCAAGTCATGATGATTTGCCATTCATTTAGTGAGGAAGTATTACAGGACACCCACTACGCGCCACAGTGACTCTAGATTAAATAACAGAATAAAATGTGGTCCCTATTCTCAGTGAGCTTACAGTCTAGTGGAAAGAGAATACAGATAGGAAGATACGGAATTACAAAAGGTGTAGAGAGGGCAAGGACGGAGGAAGGAGAGAGCGTACATGGAGGGGAGTACCTAGCCCAGCTGAGAAGAGGTGAGAGAAGACTCCTTGGAGGAAGTGACGACCAACGGAGTCCTTAAAGAAAAGTACTTGGGAAAAAAAAAAAAAGAAAGAAGAGTACTTGGTTGCCCCTACTGGCACCATGGAAAATTGCTTGGCCTACAGGGCACCTCTTACACTTTATCCACTTTTCCTCTTATTGTTTTTCTATTCCTTTCTTCAATATATTTGCCCAGCTGTCTGTACAGTCTGGGACCTGGTGAGAGGAAACTCTCAGGGAAACTCTTGCAGCAAACTGGTTTTCTATTTAAGGTCCTTCTACCACCTCCGCCATCATCATTTCTATAACCACCATCGCCACCTCCACCACCACCACTACCACCATCACTTCCACCACCATTGCCACTACCACCACTGCCACCTTCATCACCACCTATCAACACCTCCATCCTCACCACCATCATCATCACGACCTCTCTCAACACCTCTATCATCACTTCCATAAGCACCACCTCTGACACCTACAAAAAGTAAACAAGGAAGTCTTGCTTTAACTAATCCCAAAGCTATGTATAAAATCTTAGTTAATATAATGAACAAATCAAGGGATGTCTATTTGCTTTTCCAAATTATTCAACATACAGCAACCTTAATAGTTAAGTTTCCCTGTTGTTTTTTTATATGTGCTTTGGTTTACAAACATTTTAATTACTCAGATTTCTTTAGGAATATACCTATTTTAAGAAGTCAGGCATATCAAAGACATGATTTTCATACTGAGAAAGATGGGCAAGCATAATAAGAAGCTCATAAGATCTCTTTCTTTATTCATTAAATTAATTGTGAAGAGTTTTACAGCATGCACAAATCTACTAAGCATTAAGCGGTTTGTTACTTGGCCATAAATCAGTGACTATAAAGGTTAAAGTTAATTCTGTCAATATTATCCCCATATGTAAATATATGATACTTATATAAAAATATATGATACATATATTTTATACTTATAGTATATTTCATAAAACATTTATTATGCATTTATATACATACATGTAAAACTTTTTAAATAGACTCGATCAATGTATATTATTACTATAAATATCCTTCTCCAATTGTGAAATTTAGGTTAGAGACTAAGGTAGATTGTAAAAGTGGTCACAAATTCCTCTCATCCTTGTATTGTGCATCCCTTTCCCTATGACTTTGCCACTCATCTCATCAAGGAGGAGAGTCTATTTCACTGCTCCCTTGCTCTTGGCCCTCCTTTGGCCTGTGACCACTTTGGCTAATGGGTATTAACAAATGTGATGCAAGCAGAAGCAGGCACTTTGGGGTTTGCCCTCTTGCTGATCTGGGAACCCTTGCTACAACCAACATGTGATCTAATTTGGGCTGGCCTGCTGGAAGATAACAGATCATGTGGCACAGATGAGTTAGCACAGCTCAGGCCCTACTCTACCAATTAGCCTGCCAATCACCGGATATGTGAGAAACCATCCAGTCCCAGTTGAGCTGCAGAGGCCAGAAGAGCCACCAGACCGACAGACCAGAACTGATGAGAAATGATAAAATGTTTGTTTTAAGCTACAAATTTTATACTTGTTTGTTATACAGCAAAGGCTAACTGATACAGGGAATATATCTTATTGAGTTTTGTTTTCCTCTTTTTTTTTATCTGTTCCAAAAAATCTTGGGTAAAATGTTTGGTTTATTGATGCCACAGTTACCACAAACACATGATCTCTTATTTTCTTCCAAGATAAAATGTTTGTTTTAAGGCTACAAATTTATACTTGTTTGTTATACAGCAAAGGCTAACTGATACAAGGAATATATCTTATTGAGTTTTGTTTTCCTCTTTTTTTTTTATCTGTTCCAAAAAATCTTGGGTAAAATGTTTGGTTTATTGATGCCACAGTTACCACAAACACATGATCTCTTATTTTCTTCCAATTCTTTTTTTTTTCTTCCAATTCGAGAAGCTTTGATTCTCTTATATTATTAAGCTTCTTTTATTAGTGATGTTCTTTACAGAAGAAAGGGGCTGGGGAATAAAGGTAATAAAAATGAGGCATGATGTTAAGAGTGAGAAGGGGGCTAGAACTAAGATGTGAACTAAGATGGTGATTGTGGGATACTGAGGTGAAAGAGACATTGGTATAGCTCATAATGCGTTAAGTAACTTCTTGGGAGAAGTTTGCTCTATTAAATCAGAATCTCTATGAAACTCCCTGGCACTGACCCCAGATGTCCCTTTATTAAATTGCAAACACACATTCTAAAATTCCCCTTATGTTCCATTCCTTAGTTCCTCTCAATCTTTTTCACTATCTAAATGAGGCTTTCTATTTAGATAGAATTATTTCAACTGTAAATGACAAAAGCCCAACCTGATCTTAAAAGTCCAGATCATCCTCACACTTCAGACAAGATTGAATCCAGTTGCTCAAATGATGTCCTCAGGGCACTGTCTCTCCATCTCTATCTCTAGGTTCTGCTTCTCATTTTTGGCTTCCCTAGATTCCTCAATCCCTGACCTATTTTGTGAATCTCAAGAGTTGAGTGGTGGCAACTCTCTATTACGTCTCCCCATCCTGAGTGACCAAGCCCTTTTTCCTCTCCCCACTTACTACCCTATCACGTTAAAGACACTAAGATCCATCCAATTTCCAAAGTCAGACCTCTCCATTAGTCCTCATATCTAATAGATCATAAAACCAAGTCATTTCTACCCCATCTGTGTCTTTGGAATTGGTTTTCCCAATCCATGGCCATTGCCACTGTGCTTTGTCATGCACTGTTATTTCTGTCATGGAAGAAAAAAATTTCTTTCTAACCAATCTTCGCTTTGCTCCCTACAAACCATCCTCCATGCCTGAAGTAATCTATTAAAAATGTTAATCTGAGTCTAGCATTTCTACTTAAAATATTTGGTTATATAACTTGTATAAGCTGCTCCACAAATTTGGGGTACAAACATGATCCTATTTGGTGATTTTTCCAGTTGATTACTTGAACTCCCAGCTGCCCTGTTGGCAGAGAGCCTAGTTATCTTAGGGTGAGTTCCCTAGAAACAGAGACTAAGCTGAGAATAAGTAAGTGTTAGTTGTTATTTTAGGGGCCTCACTGTTCCCTGCTACTGGGCTGTAGCTGAGTCCACTCTAACCCACCCTGCCTGGCGTAACTATAATATAAAATCTTGGGGTAGAAGATTAGAGATTGGTGTCTTTCTAAGAAGCCCAGGGCCCCTCATGCAAGCTGTTGTACCCACGGACAAGCTCTACCTACCTGGGGCTCAGAGTGGGCTCCTGATCCAGTCACAAAAGATTCTTCTATGCCAGAGGTCAAAAACTCAAATGCCTATAGGAGTCAGAAGCCTGACAGACAGGGCAGCTACCATTCAGCAACAATCAACTGTTACCAAGCAGGAGCTTGGCAATCACAGTCACCACATCTTTAGAGCTTTTCAGGAGGAGCCTACGATCTTGATTTTCATATGAAATATTCTGATCTTAAATTGTTAGCTAGATTTTTTTAAAAAAGCGAGCAAAACAAAATTTGTCTTATCTGTCTTAGGGGCTATCAGTTTGTAAATTTGGTTTTGTGCCTTAATCCCAGAACAATGGATGACCATCTGCCCTACATTTGCATAACTATGGGGGCTACTGCATTGAATTGGGACTGGACAAAGATCAACTGTGAACTGGCTACAAAAGGTTCCATAATTTCAAGATAGTCTAATCTCTTTTAGGGTGGCCTGTGTGGTCTCCTTGACCTGGCTCCTACCCTTTTCCATGGCCTTTCTGTTACTCCCCCTCTCCCACAGTTTCACACCTCAAGGCCTTTGTGTTCACTGGGTTATTCCTGAGAACTTCCAGTTATCTATCAGCAGTCTCACCCTCCAAGATTTGGCTCGAACTCTCCTTCCTCTGGGCAGCCATCCTTCTCCTGATCTCTTTGTCTTCTTCTTACCCCATGTTTTAGAGCAGTTATCCCATTGCCCTAACTTTTTCTTTGCAGGCCTGTTGCTCCACCTAACTCAACCCCTAGAAGGCAGAACCCTGGGTTCATTCATCTTTGTTTCCTCATTGCCTCATGGAGTACCTGGCACTTTAAATGCAGATTGACGGAATGGGCATCCAATTTGAAAAAGAATGAGCTTGACCATTGCCTTTCACACACTTTTCATCCATTTGTGAAGAACTGGTCATTTTATTTTGAGATATTAAGTTGAAACTTGGTGTTTAAGAGAAGGAGTAAAAACCCTCTGCATACTTTCATTTTTAAGAGGACCACACATTTGTGAAATACAGTTGGAAAGAATGGGTTTTTAGACTTCCTTTCCTTTGGACAGAGCTGAGGCTTCTAAGAGTTCTAGAACTGGAGAATGCTAAACTGGTCATATTAGCTTTTCTTCCCAACCTTCAAGGTCCCCAGGGCTCTTGGAGTCTAGGACGCTAGCTGCCTTACAGGGAGAAGGAAACCAGCTCCTCTGAATGAAACAGCACTTGCACAGAGGCGGTGGCCCGCAGTGGGAGAGAGCAGCCACAGCCGAAAGCCCCTTTGCATAACCCACTCCTGAACTGAGGCTTGTAGAGTTGCAAACTGAAACTCCAGAGGCAAACCCTAAGCGGTTACATTTTTTCTCGACAAGGTTTCCCAGCCCTGTCAATCATTTCCTGCTCTCTCTCACTCCCCAGCGCGTGCACACACACAAGCTTTGGTGGACCGCTGCCTTGACATCGACCCCCTCTCCTACCTGAAGTGGAGCATCCCAGGAAGCCTCGAGGTTGGCATTTCATTCATAATATATGAACTCAAGGGAGTTGTGAGGCAGGGACAAGAGCCTTTCATCTCCGCTATTTAAAATCCCAGCATTGCGGCTGAAAGAGAAAATGACCTGCGAGTGAACTGCATCGGAGCTGAAGTGTTGCACGATAACGGTACAAGCGAGAGCGTCAGCGGCCCGCCCGCCGGCTATTTATACCACGCAGATTATGCAATCTGGCTACAGCCATTCATGCCCTGACTGGGTAGACGCGCGCCGGTGGTGGTGGTGGTGGTGGTGGGGCACCATTCCCGGGCGCCGGGTCAGTTTCTAAGTTTGCATCATCCCCCTCATTGCAAGAGAGCTTGGGTTTCCATTCCTGCCGGCGGGTCTTGGGGGAGACAGCTGGATTACAAACTCACTGGCACACACTGGCATACACAACTGCTTATTTAAACGTAATAATAAACGCACCAGAGAGCCCGAGGCTCGGCCCAGCAGCGCGCAGGGCTGGGCTCTCGGCAGACCGGAAGGAACTGATAAACCGAGCGCTAATGACAACCGCTCCCTCCCCTGTCGGAAGTGTCCCTCCAGCGCCGGTCATTGAGAAATACCAAAGGGGCAGAATGAGGGTGAGATGAGGACAGGCCCCCGCGCAGCTGCGCGTGCCTCGCGGGGCGGGGAACGGGGACTCCACAGCAGTGGAGGAGCTTCATACACCTTAGGGTACAGTAGAGTCCTCCCCAAATCAGCTCCCCCCGCGTACCCCGGTGGCGGGGCAAAGGTGAGTGATTTGTCGGATCTCACCCGCTGCCCCCACCCAGGGGAGAGCTACACTCCTGGCCCTACCAGACCCCGACGGGAGAGAAGTGGGAGGACGCAGAAGGGGGCGAAGGACACGGAACAGAGAACGGATTGCCGAGAAGGATTAAAAAGTCCGCTTCTCTTGGCCCCCGTGCTGAGTTGGAGGGGGCGGGGGCCGCAGCCCGCTTCGGAGTTAAAGACCTGCGGGTCTACTGAGCATGTCCGTCTCGCGGCCACCGAAGGTCGCTCCGGTTCCGCGCTCCGGGTTTTCCCCGCGGCAGGCGGGAAGGACCCGGGTGGGGATGCTGCCCCACCCGGGGCTCGGGATTGAGAGGCTGGTAGGTAGGGGTCCTGCTGAGAATTGCACTAGGTTTGCGTGAAGTTGTGAGCAAATCGACATTACTTTTGAAGCTCCACGATCTCACTCTGAGTTGACACCCTTGATTTGATCGTGTTCAGAGCTGCCTGCCCTCCGTTTTAGTGGTAGTGAGGGAGAAACAGGGATGTGGATATTTCGCTCTTTCATTAATGTTATTAAATTAAAGCCCCAAATCTGTGATGCTTCGTATTCTGGTAACAATCCAGTGGACTTTGATAAGGCCCTGATATTCATATCAATAAGCATATTTGAGTTATTCGCCCAATATCGCCATTTATTCTGTGGAGCAGTAGAAATACAGTTAGTAAGAGATGCAGAGGACCAAGAGGTGACCTGCTAGGAGCATTTCCGCCAAAAGGCCCCTTTTGGGTAATGAACAAGGCAGAAGATAACTGGAAGGTTTTCCTTAGAGGAACACGAAGGACTAGGAGTGGAGGAGGAAGCATTTGGTAATCCAGCTGGCTAGAGAGAAGAAAAGGTTGACATTAATTTCCTATTTGCTGTGTACTTAACAGAGTATCTTCACTGTACAGCCATTTAACCTTCCCAGCAACCCTATTCGTGTGTATTATCCTGACACTACAGACACTGAACCTGAGGCTCGGAGAACCCCTAAAAACCTGCTGGAGTCGGGCACTCGGGCATCTGAATAGGGACCTGGTGAACCCTGGACCTTAAATGTTTTTGTTGTTGTTGTTCCTCTGACTGCCAGGCCTGAGGGCTGGGCCAGTCATTCACTGCTAGTAGAAGGGAGCTGGATGAATGAGTGGTAAAGACACCAATTCAGCTTGCCTACCTACAGAAATCAATAATCACCTCACCTGCCACCTTGACATTTGGGTGCTCTGAAATTGGAGAATGGAGCCAAAGAGATGTCCATTGGGTGGAAAATTTTTGTATGAACAAATGTCCACCATGTTCCTGGAAGTCCAGGAATGGCCGAGCAGAATCTTTCAGCACTTCCAGGAGAAAAGCAACAATGACTAAAGGTGAGAAGTGAGTAGAAGCCTTAGCTTTATGGGAATTTAGTGAACCATGAGATCCTGCTTTGTTCAGTGCTTTCTCATAGATTTTCAATGGCCTCAAAAAACTGGGAATGAGAACCTTAGCTTCATTATTCTTGTTTTATAAAGAAACTACAAAATTGCTAAAAGCTTCACTTGGGGTTTCCAGGCTGCTCGGAGAAAACTAGCACTCAGCATCAAAGGTGGCTCGGGCCCAATCCATGTCGACAAAGATCGTGGTTTTGTTCAACAGCACAAAACCTAGGGTAAACCACTAGTTTCTTTCTCTTTGACTCAAGGTGAAACTTTTACTAACTTTGGAGCACTTGTGGCTCTCCAAATGCATACACACACATACACACACATAGCATTTAGGTGTACTACATTTGAGGCATATATTTAATCTAATTTTAATTCATTCGATATTTAGTTAAAATCTCTGTGTAGTCTCTTAGCACAGTCAGGAGGATGGAAAAGTCTACTTGTGTTTGGAGAGCAGGAAGGGGTAGGAGCTGTATCTATTGCTCCCTAGCAAGACTCCAGAAGTAAATACCTAACAGCTATGTAATTCATGGGCCCCAATGCAAAGTGAAAAAGTGAAGCCCCTTGTTCAAACACGATAAAGAATTTCAAGACAGCAAGAGCTAAGCATCAAACCAAGAAAAGACCTCTATGCAATTTGCAGGGTGCATGCCTAGGAAGCTAGACCTGCCCATTGCCCAGACAGTGCTGCTTTGAAGAGCATGGGCCCACACAGGCCATGGTCTCAGGCCAAGGCAGAACAAATAATTTAGACAAAGGATAGGGAGAGGGGGACACCCCATTTCACTGGTTCGTCCACTGGGCTGGCAACTTCTGGCCCAGTAACTATGGCCTTCAAGAGCTTGAGATAGGGACATCCTTCACCAACATGAGATTTACTGAATAACTTAAAATATATATATTTGGGCTAACCTTTTAACCCAAGAAATCCCATCATTTCTATTGAATTGGAAATGTTTCTGAGCTGTTGGATTTACTTTTTTTTTTTTTTTAATGTACAAATACCTTAAAAATGCCCGTTCCCCTACCAAGACAAAAAAGATCGCAAGATTCATGTAAAACGGAAAAAGCCTCTACCATTCTGAACCCTGGCAAAGGCACCTGTGCCGCTCCCACCCTCCCAAACCACGGTGGAGGGTAGTTGGTCCTCAGAGCCTGAGCAGCCCTCCGGCTCTCCCCTGAGCTCCCAGTCTCCGCTCTCCCTCTTCCCCTCTGATTTTTTAATCCAGGGGTTTGGTAGGAGGGAGGGAACTAAACGGGAGCCAGATGTGTGCGAGTCCTCGGCTCCCGCCTCCTCCCTCCTCTCGGGCATCTTAAAACCCGGAGCGCTGACAGAAGAGGATCCGGAGCCAGATAGACGCGGCGCAAACAACTCCGTTCCGCGGCTCCCGCGGGAGTGGAAGCCAGCAGGGAGGGAGGGGAAGGAAGCCGGGCATGCTCAGTAGGCGGGGCAAAGTTTTTTTTTTTCTCCTCTCTCTCTCCCTCTCTCTCTCTCTCTTTTTTTTTTCGGTCGCAAGTAGGAAGCTTTTTGCACTCCACCACCTCTGGCCGCTGGGAAGACGTCATCGCTTCCGCCCTACTTCCTCCTCCTGTTGGCGGCGGTGAGAATCCAATATGGAGTAAATCGGTGAAGTCGAGAGATGGGGCTCGGACGGGGCGCCCTGCACCGCCTCTCAGGCGCACCTCCCCCGGCCGCCGACCGCTCCCCGGAACCGTGATTGGCCCGGCCCCCCCGGGGACGACCCCGGACCGAGCCCCAACCCCAGGCCAGCCCTCTTCTCCTCCTCTCAGCATTCCCCGCCGCTCCACGGCGCGCTTGTTTTTCTCCTCTCCCTCACCGCCGTCCCCAGCCCAAACCTCTCCCCATCCGCCCGCTCTCGAGCCCCCGAAGCCCCCACCCGCCTCGCCCCTCGGCGCTGCGGCCCTCCCTTCCTCTGCAGCTTGCCTTTGCACCCTTTCCCCCAAACCACCCCGCGCTCCGGTCGCCCTGCTTCCCCTTCTGCCTTCTGCGGCGCCCCCTTCATCTCTAGCCGTTCCCCCTCCCCAACCAAATCAGGCGATCTCCGGAGATGTGAAGAAGGGGGGTGAGCGGACAGGAAGATGAAGGGAGCAAAGCTGCTCGCCGCGGGACAGGCGTCTAGGTGAACAGGAAAATGACCGAAGAAACACACCCGGACGAGTAAGTTTGGCCGCGGGGTGGGACGAATGCCCCGCGGGGGCAGCGTGAGGTCCGGGGCTGAGGACGCAGGCGGGGACTCTCGGGCAAAATTGGCGTGGGGTGCAGAGACTCGCTGGCCTGTGGGGTTTAGGACGCGAGATTTCCCTTTTTGTTGAAGTGAGGAGGGGGCAAAAACTGCTTTGGGCCGGCGGGGGCGTGCCTGGGGTCGGCGGGCTAGTGGCCGCTGCGGGGGCCAAGGGCGCATGGGTGACCTCGGGGCAGCCTCCGCTCCCTCTCCGGGGAGTTACAACACCCCCACCCCGAAATCCTAGGCAGCCGGAGAGGAAGATTTGACATCCCTCTCTCCGATTTCTTGGGGTCGGTGGGTTTTTGCTTGGTGACTTTGTGACTCTCCCGCTCCACCGCTCGCCCTGCAGTTCCTTCGGAAGCCCTCTGGGGCCCAGGCTCCGCCATTTCGTTTTCTTGAATCGCTCTCATTTGCATACCACATTTTCATTCATAAAAAACAGGGCCGAGCGAGCGAAGGACTGGGCGCCGGCTGCGCGGGGGTCTGCTTGCGCTCAGGTCCCTACGCGAGCCAGCGTGCTGGAGCCGCCTCCGGGTCCCGCGGCGCGTGCAAGTACGTGTGCACGCGCTTGTGGGCCCGGGACAGGCGCCCCGCGGGGTAGAAGCAGCTTGGGGGGCGGATCCGAGGCGTGTGGGGCGCGGGCGGGCGGGAGCGTGCGGGCAGCGCGCTGCGGGCGTGCGTGTGTATGTGTGTGTGTGTGTGTGTGTGTGTGTGTGTGTGTGTGTGTACACGTACGCGCGCGCGCGCGTGCACAAGCATGCGTGCCCAGCTCGCGGGCCTGAGGGGAAACAATGCTTGGGGCTCTCTGGCCGAGGGGCTCCCAGCCAGACCCGCCACCCCCCATGGGACCCGTGCCCTTCTCTATCTTCAGGCTAAGGTGCAGCTCCCACCCGCCTCGCGGTCGGGGAGTTGGGTTTGTTTTTTTCCCACCCCTGCCCTGGGCGGTTTCAACCGCGGGTGCAACGGAGGCTGGGACTCCGGGCCTTTGGGCCCGGCGCCTAAGGTCACATCGGCCTCGGGTCCGAGTGGTCACTGCACAGCGGCCACCTCTGCGGCTCAGCGGCTTTGCCCGCCACCAGCCAAAAAATTTTTTGTGAATTAGACGCTCTCCTTTATTGTCACATGATAGCCCTCCCCTCCTCCCCTGCACATTCATAAATCCGGAGCTTGCCTCGGCTCTTTTCATTCAAAGCTGCCATTAGCAAAGGTAGCAGCGGCGCTGGCTTGGGCGCAAAGAGCCTGTCCGCAGCTGCTAGGACGAGCCTTTGGAGGGGGCCCCGCGAGTGTCTGTGGGGGGGTGGGAACTGCGGGTAGCCAGCTACCGAGGTCTCCATTCTTTTGCCTCCGAGAGCATTGAGACTCGGTGCAGAGAGGGGAAGTGACTCAGGGCTTGGGTGACTGAGAGAGCTTTTTTTGCAGCAGGTGACAGTGCTGTGCTCTACTCTAAGAATCTGCTCACTTCTTTTTTTATTGCCCCTTTATCCTTTGGTGTCTGCTGTTGCCAGGCTGGGCAGGAGCGGGGGTTGGGAAGGCTGGTCTTTGGGAAAGGGAATTTCCTTCCTGTGGGTCCCCAGGGAGCTTTGATTGTAGTAACCCATAGTCTGCCGGTCACCCGTAGCTAGAGAGGATCCCTCCTGGTGTGCATGTCGTGGCCGTCCCACCACATCTGCCAGTCCTATTTTGCTTAGCCTTCATAGACTATCTTGAAATGGGAAAATGAAAAAAAGTTAGCTTCTTCGGCTGAAATATGAGGTGAGGGTGGTATATGCTGCTGGGCCTTGCCCCCTGTAGAACTTGATTAATAACAGTTATTCCTGTGAGCCCTTGTTTGTCGCTGCATGCACAAATCGCAGTAGCAGTAGGGAGGGACACTTGGTATGCTGAGCTTCAGAATCCCAAAGATTGGTTCGACTACCTTACGTTGGCTTCCTTGGTTCCATCCGTTATGAATACTGACCTGGCCTCTTTTCATGGCAGCATGTCAGCTTTGCCTCCTACCTCATCTGGTATCCTAAGTGAAAAGGAGTTGGGGTGGGGCCACCAGCAAGAAATAAATATCTGTATTCCATGCTCTCAGAACAGTTCAGCATGGAACCGGCTTCCCCCAGTGCCGTCAGAAGCCTGTTGAGACAATAGATGTTTGAGGACACATTCTAGTTTCAGTTAGAGAACCAGAAAGTTGTGGCGCCTTTACCCACTGTGGAAATGGCTTTCTCAGGATTACTTTTAATGTAATGACCTTGGCATGAGACATGAAATGCTTGGTAAGAAAGCAGGCTGCATGGGCTCTAAACTGGCATTTTTGGACACTGTCCATTATATTGTTCAACGTTCTTATGTAATGACCCATCTGAAAAATTTCCCTTTAAATGTTGGAGCCAGGAAGGTTTTTCTCTCAGTTACAGAGGTTGCTGTAATTGCTCTTTTTTTTTTTTGCTTCCACTGTCTGAAAGCTCAGAACCAAAATTATTGCTTGATTTCAGTAGCCATATTAGCCTAGATTTTTGAATTTTGATCTTCTATTTTCTAATGGTTTCATGTTTGAGGTCCCACAGATACCTTTTGGAAGTAGGCAAGGTATGTTACGTATAAAGAGAATTGGTGACATCAAACTGGAGACCTAGGGGAGTTATATTTGTGCCTAAGGTAAAATAGATTTTCTTAATAGTCCATATGTATTTAAGGTTTTTATTAAATACCTGTTATATTTCATATCAGAATACAATAAAAGAATCTTGCAACTGGTAAAATCGTGCTTAATTTAAAAAATAAATGTTTTCTTAATTAAAAAAATAAATGTTCTTTTCCATGTCAATTTAAAACTCTTTTCTAATAAATATTTGGTAATTCAGGAAAGCTTGTCCGCTTCTATGTAGAAAATACGTTGATGCTTTGATCTCACTCCAGATAGAATGCATGTTAACATTTATAATTTTACAAACATTTATAATTTAAAAAGTAAAGAGCATCAACAGACTATTCAAGTCTTTCGTACATAGGAGGAAACAGTTTTTTAAAAATCATACTGTATCTTTAAAGCATTTGATCATGGCATTGAGTGGTTTGGAAATTCGCAGACAAAATGAAGAAATCCTCAAGTGAACTATAACCCCGGAGACATAAGGCCTTCATTCAGCTTCTTATTTTGCCCCTCTCAATTCTTCTCTGCAACACATATCTTGCTGAGAGAATGGATTTGCAGCTTCACCTGCAGTCATGTTCCTAATGTTGAAAGGTTTCCAATTTCAAAAAAGTTTAAATATTTTCGTGGAACCATTTCAAAATTAGACATCAGAACTCTTATATCTAAATACTTGAGCTTACTTCCCAAAAGATGAGACTACTCTGATGAAACCACAATACCATCATCACACTTAACAAAATTAGGAATAATTCCCAGATGTTTTTAACATTCAGCCTCAACTATCTGAAAAATGTCTTTTATAACTGGGTTTTTCAGCCAGGGGCCAATCAAAGAGCCCATGTTAAATGCATTTGTAAAATATACTTAAGGTTCAAGGGTTAGCCAGTTGCACACTTTCTGATCTAAGGCAAGTTACTTACGTATCTCACCTAGGTTTTACCTGAGCAAATAAAATGGGAATACATATTACTGATTTCATGGAGTTGCTGTGAGACTTAAATGAGATAGTATACACAAAGCTTCCAGTCCAGCACCAAGCATAAAACAAGTGTCTAGTGTGGCTCTTTCGGGGACACTGCAGTAGGCTCTTTTTACAGCTGATTAATTTTCAAATAACCGTCTTAATTTTCAAATAACCCTGAGGAGGTGTTAACCCATTTAACTGATGGGGAAACTTAAGTAAAGTTGCTTACCTAAGACAGCAAACTTTTTTTTAGCATTTTATTTCATTTAGTCTTCTCAACAATTGTGTGAGGTAGATGGTATTATTACTCTAATTTATAAATAGGGAAACTGAGGTACAGACAGGTTAAGTAATCTGCCCAAGGTCATATCTGTAGTAACTGATGGAGCTGGGATTTGAGCGCCCCAGCAGCCTGGCTCAGGAAGGATTGTGTTTTTAACCACGATGTGGTACTGTCTCAGAAGGGGAGAGGGCAGCCAGCCAACCTTGGTCATTCTGACTTCAGAGCTCACACTGTTTCTGTCAGTCTTGCTGTCCCTAATTCTGAATTGGTGACAATCTGTCACTGCCGTAATTTTTCCCACTTCCCTTATCTTCCCTGAAAATGCAATGAGGGACATACTGAATTAAAGTGAATTTAAATAAACTTGGGTTTGAAAATTCTGCGATACACCTTAAGATAATAGGAAAAGTGTGACTTCAGAGTTAAGTATTACTCTACATTCATTGAAATGACAGTTGTGGAAACTAGACCTTATACAAGTATTGACCTATTTTCTTTCTGTTAGCCTAAAAGGGATGTGTTTCTTCTCTACATGAGTAGATTTCTTAAAAGTTGAAAACATAGAGTTGACTTTGCAGAATTGGAATCTTGGTTCATTTATCATAAAATCTGGAAAGCAGGACAAAAAATATTTGGAAAGACCTTAAAAAGTTTCTAAGCCAGGGCATTGTCAATGTAGTCATTGTAATTACATAAAGTCAAATAAAGTTAAATGCCTTATGCAGGGCCTTACATCTTGTTAGATAGTAGGCCTGAACTAATCTCCATCTGCTGGGTTTGTTTCCATAAGGATATTAGCAGATGTTACCTCCTTTCTTGCTATAACTGATCCCCTCTGCTTTCCAGTTTCTTTAACCAATAAAATATAAAAAGTGAATCAGTATGAATACCAAAGCCATTATGCTTCAACCTGCTTACTTGTGCTCTTTATTTTGGAATTCTTTCTTTTTTCCCTTCTCCAAAAAGTGAAATTCTGCTCTTTCCCCCAACCATCTTGGATCCTCTTGACTTTCCCCTCCCACCATTCTCTAAAGTCATAACT